AGACCCCAGACATTCTAGACATTCTAGTCCCCAGCCCTTTGTTGCTACCTCCTTCTATCCACTCACCCCAAATGTTTTTTATTCCCACAGCTGGGTCGTCCCCCTGCAGGCTTTCTTCTGCCTGCCCAGCTGATGATGTTTTTCTGGCTCCAGAAAACTTCCGATCGTTACAAACAATGCTTGCGGGGACAAAGGATTGTCCCGATTAAAACAACAACAACAAAACTAGGACGGTCTTGCAAGAATCCGGATGGGTGGCCAGCCCACATGAACACTGTGATGTTTCTCTCTTCTTTTTTTTTTTCTCCCCATCATTAAACAGGAACAATGTCATTATTTTGAAAACTCAGGAGTTACACTAAGGTTTTAGTTGTGGCCAAAGGTTTGTTCAATAGCCGGTGCTGCTGAGATGCCTAAAACACATTTTCTATGTCATTATTCTTAGGGGTCTGATTCTGTCATTATCGTGTTTGTGTCTTTTAAGGGATGGGCAGCCCTGAAAAATAAGAATAAATTCCACCTTGAATCTTAATCTTGAATTAGCAGGTCTTTTTCTCCCTGCAGTTTTGAGAATAATTGAAAAAAAAAAAAAGGCTCAATTAGTTCAAATAAGATGGAGTAACATTTCATTTTATTTCATTCATTAGAATATTATTTAATTATCACTAACTGTGTGATGGGCTTTTGCTTGTAACTCTGATTACATTGAGTTTAAATGGACCTAAAACTGTTGTCAAGAAATGAAATGAGAAAATGTTGTTTACAGTATTGCCCATGTTGTCCGCCAGTATTCTGTCTTTCCAACAGCTGCACCAGGACATGCTGTTGGTATTTGGAGGCCTCTAGAGAGTGAAGTGGCCAAGTTTATTTTTCTAATCTCTAAATTCGGCACACAGGTCAGCACTGAAAACTCCTTATCTATGTGTACAACAAACTGTCACTAGTTAATGCTCTTAGTCATCATACCTTGCAGGGAGGCCTGAAAGCTAGGGCAGGACCCTGAATCCCCAAATTCTCTGCTACTGAGCACATAGGACTTATCTGCAGAAGTTACTTAACCTCTCTTTATTTCATTGCTAAAATTTTAAGTAATGATTCCAAATTAGCACAGAGTATATAGATGTAAAAAAAATCCTCTATACTAAAAAGAAATGCTCATTTTTGATGGACTTTATTTTCAAGCTGTGTCCAATGCGTTCACTCATTTTTTGTTCCTGTCGTGGTTGTAATGATAACTAGTGCTGCTATTTACAGAAACTATTTTTAGCCTAGAAAGGGGGTTGGGCAAAACTTCTTTGTTTTTTGGCCTGATCATGGACAGTTCTCGTATATTCTTAATTCATGGCCCATCATCTGCTATTATTAAGTGTCTCAAATGAATCCATCTCCTAACTGTGACTGAGGCTAAGTCATGAATGATTTTGCATGAAGGCAAGTATTCCTGGATGCTTATGCAGCCAAATGTCACTGTTCCTCAGACTGTTTACCTAGACAAGTCAATGAAGAACCATGCCAATTCACTATTAATAATTTCCATAGCAGCTAAAAAAAATCGGTCTTCTTATTAATTTCTACAAATAAGTAACAGGGAGGCATATTATTGTTTTTGTTAAATGCAAAGTTAGACTAAGATACTCAAATTCATTTTTTGTTTGCCATAAAACCATCATCAGACGGGAACAGCAACAGGCTTTTGAGGCCAAAGTAAGTGGAAAATAAAGATTTTTCTATGGGAAAGTTTCTGAATGGCACTTTTATTAAGGTATATAATTCCCTACAGTGGCCTATTAATGCCATGATCGTCTCTTCTTCAGGATCCTCCAAAACTACTTTAACCATGTGCTTCCCTCTCCTTTCTCTCTCTCTCTTTCCCTCCCTCCGTATCTCCCTTCTTCCCATTCTGCCACCCTTCCTCTCTATGCCTACTACAATAGAATTTCCAGACATTTTAAAGGGGAAATGTGGGAAGAAACAGTAGCAAGCTGCAGAGCCCTCATCCTTGAGATGAAAATGTCTTATTTCAAGCTCTTTATTGAAAAATAATGTATTAGGCTGAAAATATGAGAATTGCTATTAATGGTTCAGATCCATATTTTCTCATGTTCTGTGTTTTGTTGCTAATGGTTATGCCAAAGGAAACTATATGGCCGAGTAGATCTGGGCTGGGAGACATTGATTTCAGAAGGTAAGGCATGCTCCCGTCTTCTTCGCTTTCCCTAAAACTTGCTTCCATCAATTTGTCCTATCACTTTTTGATTTTATTCATACTTAAGGGTTGTTTATTGGAGCAAGGAGTTTCATAAGCATACTAGAAGCTATATAATATAACCTTGCATTTCAATTATTAAAATTTTATTTTAATTGTCAAAGAATTGCTTTTAATGTTATGTTCTGGGATTGCATTTCAAGTGCAAGATCACATTAACAATAATCTTTCATTACAAAAAATTCTGCATATTTTTTCTGCCTGTGTCATTTCTATTTAAATTGGCTTTAAATAAAACTACAAAAATAGCATAATAAAACTGCATGTCCTCTAATATATTTTATTTCTTAGACCAACTGAGCTTTCCTCTGAAAAACTTGTGAGGATTTTACTGTGATCCTATTCAAATAAAGGGCTACTAAACATAGTACTTTTTGCAATATCATCTGCATCAAATATTTTCTTTCTTAAAAAAAAAGATTTTATTTATTTTAGAGAGAGAGAGAGTGTGTGCAAGTGGGGGGAGGGGCAGAGGAAGAGGGAGAGGCAGAGAATCTCAAGCAGACTCCGTGCTGAGTGTGGAGCACATAGTGGGGCTCGATCTCATGACCCTGAGATCATGACCTAAGCTGAAACCAAGAGTCAGATGCTCAATGGACTGAGCCACTCAGGAGCCCCATGCATCAAATATTTTCCATTTCAAGCATTTTCCATTTCCCACAAACTGAGAATGGGAAGTTAATGATGTGTCTTCCACAATTTTCTGCAAAACGAACTGCTACTTTTAGCAATCAACTTGTTTTTTACCTTATAGACTATTGTGTGTGTGTTTTTTTTTAAGGAATGGAATCAAGTATTATTCTATATTCAGAATCCCTTGAGGATTTGTTGTTTGTGTTGCAAATTGCACATGATGTTTTAGGTAGCCCATGTGTATTTCCATTGAAAGAACATGTCCTATTTTTGAGGAAGAAAAAAAACTTGTAAGACATCAAATGTTTCTTGCAAAACAATTTGATGAAATAAATGTAAATGAATCAGAAACATGTGAATTGTATTTCACTTAAAATTAATGGGTTTAAGTATGAAGGGAGTAGAGTGCTTGGGGGAAAGAGTGTGGCAAGGCGGGAAATTACATTTGTTTTGTTTTCATCAGTCTTGGATTCTTGAAAAATGGCCTAATACTCTGAATTTAACCTCATTCAGATTCTCCATTAAGCCAAATGATGGAGATCCAGAAAGGGACAATAATATGCAAATTCATTTTATAGCTCTATCTGGCTCCTATTATAATGTAGGCATCAAACATGGCCACTATGCAATCCTTCAAAAGCCCTTGCAACTCAAAATTCGTGATTTTTCTATTGTAATGATGCTGAAAGTGTATTTTTTCCCCCGTAGAACATGTAGAGTTTTCAGCCTCCCATGTCAGCTTAACATTTATTTCCTCTGTCAAACTGAAGAAGATCAGATCTAAACAGAAAGCACGGGGACACTGAAGGTAGCCACACATAGCAGAAGGGTGAGGAGGAAAGAGAGTGTAAGAGGGGGAGAAAGAAGGGGAAAAGAAATAGACCATTCGCGCAGACCAAGGTCACCAAACCTCATTTCATAAGCAAAGAACTCAAATCCCGCTAATTATTTGAGAGTCACAAAAACTTTAGCCCATAGGTTTACATTCATACCCTTTATGCGTGCTTAAAAACAGCTGCATAGCTTCTTTTTACTTTTTGTGTTTTTCAATTAAAAAAAAAAAAACCCATGCATTATTCTGAAAACAGGAAAGAGCTACAAAAAGAAAAGAAAAACAACTTGTAAATAAGCCTCCCTGTCAACATGCTTCAAAATATGAGGAAGTTTGATGTGTGGCGTAGCAGCTCAGTTTCTCAACTCTGCCTCTGCAAACAGGGACATTTTAAGTGTCCTGAAAACTTCCAAGAGGCAAGGAGTACATAACTGGAGAATGTATTTTTATTTTGGGAGATAATCTAGGGCATGGCTTAAGTAGCCGCACGTGGTGAGAAATAGAGGCACCAGGTCCTTTCTGTATAAGTTGAAGGCGCCAGAGCCCATAGGGCTGTTTTTGTATGTAAAGAGCCTGCCTTTTTATTTCTCAAGAACACGATGTCATTGGAGTTGAGCATTTCTCTGACCGCTTAGAACCCCACTGCTGCTCATCACCCGCTTTTGGAATGAGGACCCTGCTCCTTGATTTCTTTGCGCCAAACAGCCTGTTACCTCAAATGGTTCCGGAAGTGGTTCTCTGCTGTGCTCCTCACGGGCAGGATTTGTGGGGAGTCACTCTGAATGTATTTGTCCCCTAACTGGGCAGGAGATGTGTTCTAGCTTCTAACACAGCCCTTTGTTGTTTCATTTAAACTTCCCCTCATTCAGTTCAGTGGATGAAAAATGGAGTAGTGAGGCTCACTGTTTCATTTGCACCATAAATCAGTGGCAACATAACAGACACAACAATTTCTGAGCCCCCAAAGGTACTCTTAAAGGCTCTACTGATCCACACAAAATCCCGGCTCCAAAGTCGTGTCAACAAAAATATAGGAATAGCATCAACTTTATCTTTGTCCCCATCAACAATCAGTAGTTAGAGGGTCCTCGATGAGGGAAGTGTCGCTCTGTAGGATCTGTGCCCAGAACGTGATTTCAGTGGCCTGTTTCCTTTGACGAGAAACCTGCTGTGATTTATTTCCCATCATGATTTGCTGCAGCAACTTTGATAGGTGTGACGGAATCTAATCGACTTTGCGTTTGGTGTTGTTGTTGCACTTTCTGACAGGCCTCCCCTTGTAGCAGTGATAAGGAATGTGAAATTGGGAGATATTGCCACAGTCCCCACCAGGGATCCTCGGCCTGCGTGGTGTGTCGAAGGAAAAAGAAGCGCTGCCACAGAGATGGCATGTGTTGTCCTGGTACCCGCTGCAATAATGGTAAAGATCTAGTTCAGTGTCGACGGGCCTCTTCCCCTTTCTGTAGGAGGCGTGTCTAGCAAATTCGACTACATTGGCCTTAGCCAGACCCCCGAAATGCAAGGAGCCTTTCAAAACTGGCAGGGATTGGATCACGGGTTAGCTATGTGTACAATTACTTGGATTACCTCCCAAATCCTAGTTTTCCTGGGCTCTGATCTATATTTCTAGATTTTACATCCTATGGCAATCCAGGATTTGCCATGCCAAAGTGTTGTACGTGAATAGCTATAAACACATAAGTGAATACGTGCAAAAGACCTAACAAAGAACCTGGTGTGATTGAGCAATACAGTCGTGCGTCCCTCTTCCAGTTTCATACCTCGGCTCTTATATTCAGGGTGTCTTCTTTTAAAGCCCCCCCTACCCAACGCACCACACTCATAGTGAGGGAGGGATTGGCTCCTCCAAATGGAGACACGTGGGTCTATTCCCCAGCCTTTCCACAAGCATGACTTCACCCAATGTCAATGGACTTCTAGGCATACAATTCAGCATTAATGATGAAATGAAGAACCACAGACAACACAGGACAAAACCATTAAATAATTACAGAAGGTGATCTGAAACATAAACCTAGTCATATAAACCAAGATAATCAGACTCCTCTCCATATACATGCTCCTGACCTCTGGGCAGAGTCCTGTTGGAAGTAGCTGGGACAGGTGAAGGGAAGAAGACCTCATACCATTAGAGATGTTTACAATGTAGACTAGGGTGGTATGGTTGATTGAACAAAGGAACCTGGATCCTGAAGATGGATGTCTGGCCAGGCATTTTAAAAGTAGGAATAGCTAATATTAATACTTACTAAGTCACTATTCTAAACACACGTATTCACAACATAATGAAATGTTTTTATTCCTATTTTTGCCCATGGACACTTGGTCTTGAGATGAGATTCAAATTAAGGAAGACTGACTTAGGCCAAACTAATTCTATTTAATATTGAATAATATGATTTAATATTGTTTATGTAAATAAATGAATGGCTGAATGAATAGAGGATAGATAGATGATGGATAGATAGATGATAGATAAATAGGTAGATAGATGATAGATAGATAGGTAGATAGATGATAGATAGATGATAGATAGATATAGATAGATAGATAGATAGATAGATAGATAGATAGATAGATAGATAGGAGATAGCGTCACTCCTCACATCAGCACACTACTTGGGTAAGAATCACACTTTATAGAATCGGATAAGTCTAACTACTTACTTGCCATCTCCAGGCATCTGCATCCCTGTCACTGAGAGCATCTTAACCCCTCACATCCCAGCTCTGGATGGCACTCGACACAGAGATCGAAACCATGGTCATTACTCAAACCATGACTTGGGTTGGCAGAATCTAGGAAGACCACACACTAAGATGTCACATATAAAAGGTAAGCGATCTGTAGCTCTATGCTTACTTTTTCTTGTTTTAAGAGAAGTAAAATTACAATATTGATAATTCATTGCATTGGTTTTAGAAAAAATACAAGGAAGGTACTTTGTTGGCAAGATTTTAACTGAATGTATTAATTCTTTTGAGGATGCTGGAGGTTTCTAAGAGATCTTAAATTGTTAGGAAATATATATTATGAGAATTGCAGCACCCCTGATCAATCATTCCATTTTCCAAACAGTCCTGCCTTTAAATGTTTGATTGAATCACTAAGCTTTTGAATCATTCTCTCACCTTTGCAGAAATTTAATTTCACTAAACAACCACATAATATACTATTCATAGACCAACTTATCAAAAATAGTTGGTTTCTAGTGGGATTATATATGGTCATAAAGTCCCCTTACTTGTATCAAAATATTTGGGAAGCCTAATCACTAACAGTAAATTTTGAAAGCATGAAATTATTGAACTTTATTACTACTAGTAGAATGTTAAGGGCATCAAACATGTCCATCTTTAAAGGAGGCTTCTCCCAAGTGTGTTCTGTGGAGCAATACTCTTTTAAGACAGTCTGTGAATGAAAGTGTGCCGTGTTTAAGAGTTTTGTAATAATGCATCTCCCAGTTTGGGAACTTTATACAATTGGGATGTTGAGGGCTCTGAGAAGCCCAGCAGTGAGGAAAACTGGTTCAGTTTTTTAAACACTGTATGTCCCCATATTTCTTGACCACAAAAACTTTTCCCCACATTTTCATGTTCTGCAGAGCTAGTATCCTATGGAATAACTGACCTATTAGTCAGACCTGGAATATTAATGTTGACATGGATAGCGTTAAAAAGATGAACAATTCCTCTTTAATTATCCCCTGTCTATGCTCCCTGAAGACCTATGTCTTTACCCAATCTCCTATTTCTATTCCACCAAATTCACATGCATATTTCATTACATGAGTATCCTTCCTTATTCCAATAGATAACTATGTCACCATACAGTTTCAAGTTTACTAATATTTTTATATAGTTTTATGTATAGTTTTCTGATGGCAACTAGGAAGAACTCCTAGTGGGTCGTGACCATATCACACAGTGGGATTGGTTATATCTGGGCTGACAGACAATCCTTTGGTGCCTGTGCGCCAAATCTGTCCCACTGCCTGTTTTTGTAAAATAATGTTTTGCTGGAACACAGACTTGCCTATTCATTTAGGCATTACTTATGTCTGCTTTTGTGACAGCAGAATTGAGGAGTGACAGATCATATGGCCTAACAGGCCTAAATATTTACAGTCTGGCAAAAATACGGAGAAGTTTTTTGACCCCTTCTTTATATAGGTGACACATCAAGCCAGCTGTGATGTGTGTTTGCTCTTTTGCTGATTTAGTCATTTTTTCTGAATTAAATATCCAGATCTGTTCTTCCACATGTTTTTAATGATGGGTTCTTTGTTGACCCTGGGGCTGTCTGCCCTTTCTCTACTCTGCTCTGAATCACAGCTCTTTAGAGACTGCACGTCCTAGGCTCCCTGTCAGGGGGGCCTTTGGGATTCCAGTCCCAGCTAGCGATTCCTGCCCCCAGATTCTGACATGACCTTCTCCGCTGGATCCTTCAGCCTAAATGTGGTAGCGGCTTCCTGCCCCGTTGCTTTACCATCCTCTGGGCCTTCTTGGTCCTGCCGCCACCTGCGTGCCTAGTTCTCTGCATTAAACATCTTCTGTCTTAAGTTTCTGTTTTCCTGGCTAGACACTGAGGCAGGGTTTTAGGAGTCCCTGAGAATTTCAGCTTTCTCTTTGAATCAGAGTTTATTTATACCTCCCAAGAAGGTATCAAATTAATTACCTTGAAAGCAATTCTCTTTCTTTGCTTATTTTTCACTCACCTCGTTAAAAAAAAATGATCGGAGAAAGATCTAAGAGCAGACCATGCCGAAGGAAAGAGAAGATGAAGCACAGTCCTCGGCTATTCATGAAGCTTGATATTCAGGCAGCGAATAATCAAAATAGACAATAATGGCTTGACATGATTAGAGGGAGAGCCGATCGATAGGAATCCAAGACTTGCCATCATAAATGATAACTCCATGGAAGACAGTATAAATAAAAATATTGTATGTGCTTCTGATTGCAAAGTAGGATTTTTTCCTATAGTGTCATGGTAATATCTTTTGGTCATCATCTCTGTAGGGCATGAAGGAGACCCCTGCCTACGATCATCAGACTGCATCGAAGGGTTTTGCTGCGCTCGCCACTTCTGGACCAAAATCTGCAAACCAGTGCTCCATCAGGGGGAAGTCTGTACCAAACAGCGCAAGAAGGGCTCTCATGGGCTGGAAATTTTCCAGCGGTGTGACTGCGCAAAGGGCCTGTCGTGTAAAGTATGGAAAGATGCCACCTATTCCTCCAAAGCCAGACTCCACGTGTGTCAGAAGATATGATCACCTCTGAGGAAAATCATCACTAGCAGACTGTGAATCTGTGTATTTAATGCATTATAGCATGGTGGAAAATAGGATTTGGATCTCAGAAGAATGGTTAACATAAAGAATGTAATACGAATATAGAGATCACAGAGAGAGAAAAAGGAAAAGAGAACAAGCAGATTAGAAAGAGGTAACAAATGTAGTACAACCGATGCATTCCCGTGATGCAACTTGTTTATGTAAATAATGTACACATTTGTGAAAATGCTATTACTGAAAAAAAAAAAAAGCACACAGTGAAACGTACTGACGAATACCATGTGACTTTCCAAGAGTTTAGGTTGTGCTGGAGGATCAGTGTCCTTCAGATTGGTGATTGCCTATAGAAATAACCTAAAAGCCATATTTCTAGTTCAAGGTTATTGTTTAGCAAAATAGTCCCTTGGCATACAATAGGCTTTCACATGAAAAGAGTTGTTAAATAGGAAATGAAAGCATGGAACATAGGTAGTTTGCAACACAGAATCACCTTTTGGTTTGGAACACTACTTCTACGGTTCGATGAAAGGCCTTGGTAGATAAGAAAAAAAGCAGTCAGTATTTTCCAAATAATTTCAAAATAATTGCAAGTCTTTTCATGAACACCTTTAGGAAAAACCAAAGTTGTTTTGCTTTAAACTGTTTAGTTACATTTCTCAAAAATTTATTTTCGCCGGTAATTCCCAAGAATGTTTTTGTATAAGACAAAAACAGTCCATTCACCTTCTAAAGGAATGGCATTGCACCTTTTTCTTGATTGTATGTGATTCCTACCCTGAATATATTTTATTTCCCAAACTATCCCAATTAATTGTGAATAGTACAGAGCAGAATTTCACAGATTTCAAAAATTTTTAAGGTGTCCAAGATACAGAATCAACGCTAATAGATTGTGATTTGTTGAAGCTTTGGCATTTCCCATATTTGGTAGGATTAGATAGGTAAATACATTTATTCTTTACACACGCAGCAGTACATTGAGGAAAAGCTGATAATAGAAACTTGATCTACATTTGTGCTGCACTGAGGGACACAAAGGAAATGGACAAAACTTTGTCAAGTGCCCAGGTTTTGGCAACATGTCGATCATATGTCTGAGGCACAAACTGACTATTCATATTTGAAGCCTGAGGCCGCACAACCTAAATGGAAGTTTTCCATGGGATTTGCTATCACAATATTTACTATGCAGATGAGTTCTGTGTAGGTCACCAGTTGGCCTCAAAATATTTATTTTATATTTTTTGAGGTCCTAAAATAATATGGGGAGGTCTCATGACATGGACTCCCAAGGCAGGTAGTACAGTAAGGTTCCAGTGTCCTCCCTAAACGTCTAACTTGCCGATGGCACCATCTGAAATTTCTGTACCAATCTCTCTCTGCAACAGCTGTTTTTTTTGCCAAAGATATTGTTTCTGTTTTACTGCAGCCATTGAAAGTAAAAAATATAAATGGAATAACTTGTAAAATCTACATATTGCTAACCTATAGAAACCACAGTTTCCAAATTCTTTGAAACCATTTTATTACTTTTTTTTACTTTACTCAGTTCTAAATATTTATGTCTAGAGCATAAAGCAAAAAAGTTATCTTATAGTTGTTACTTTTGACCTTTTCTTTTATAGACTGCAAGTCACTCCTTAATTTTCTTTTACTTAAACCCCTTCTGCAGTTTCAAATTCAAGTTTTCCCAGTAGAGATTGAATCTGAGCCTGCATGTCTATTAAGAATTTCAGCTTCCCATACCCATTTACAAGGGTGCTGAAGATTTACATTTTTTCCACATGTCTGCTAAAACAAAAATTATAAGCTAATCTATCCAAGAACCAAAGTTTGTGCAAACAGGTTTCTATAAGCTTGGCAACATGAAAATGGAACATTTCAGTCAAACATTTCCTACATAGCAATCACATTTACAATCTGGTTTTTGCATTATTTCCCTTATGTACATCCCAACATTATTATTTGAAGTAATTTATTTACAGGAAATGTTAATGAGATGTATTTTCTTATAGAGATATTTCTTACAGAAAGCTTTGTAGCAGAATATATTTGCAGCTCTTGACTTTGTAATTTAGGGAAAATGTATAATAAGATAAAATATATTAAATTTTTCTCCTTCAAAAACGGAATTCAAATTTCCTTGTGTTTTGCTTATGAGAAAAACTTTCACAGAATCACAGATTCTCAGAGTTCAAATGGATGATCTGATTTGACAGTTGGGGTAGGAATCTTTTGGATGACCTCGCTATGAGATGATCCAAGGCAGTTTACTATTACTAAAGGCAGCTTATTCATGGCAGGGCAGATGTAATTGTTAAGGAGTTATTTTTCATTAAACTAAAATATCCCAGCTTGTGCTTTCTACCCATTTGTTCTTACTCTGTGTTCTGGAACATCTTGGAACAACGGTTCTCCACAAACTTCTTCAAAACACTTGAAGCCACCTAGCCTATTTCCTATAATCTTCTACCCCGATTAAAATGTCCCCAAATAGAGATGCCAACATGCTTAGCATACTGGTTCATTCCCTGATGGCACAAAGCAGCTACAAAATATCTTTATCCCTATATGGATAGGGACTGAGTTACCTGGCCCTGAGTGAACTCAAAGCCACTTCCTGGGAAAGTCTTTCCTCTGCTTCCTAAACACAGAGATGTCAGGAGGGTTTGTTAAACAGAACTCACCAATTTTGAGACTGGGAGTGGTTGTAGAAGCCCATGTTGTATTAGAGATGTCAATGGGCTAGAAATGTGGAAAATAAACATTCTATGACAGTGGAATGGATTAAGTGTAGCTATGGACGCGTAATGAAGCTAAAACAGTCCCATAGCTAGAGGTCAGAGTTGAAGATACCTCAAGCATTGCTGAAATAACTCCCACATTATTCTAATTAGTCACTTAAATAGTTATTCTTAAATAGTTATCCACTTCCTCAAATTGAGAACATTTGTATTTCCTAGCTACAGTGTATTTTTAGACTATAACTGTCATATGGGTGATATTTTTCTTTTCCACTGAGCTCAGGGAGATGCTCTGAAAACTGACAAATTGTCTTGACTTCCCTTTTAGCCAAGAAACACAATGCCTTATCATAGCCCTAGGATTTGAGGGGGGAAACAATCAATTGCACCTTTCTCCACCCCCCCAAATTCAGGCCATTTGAGAAAAAAAGAAAGGAAGGCAGATGACAGATTACCCTAGGCTGGTAAAGTTATCGGAGAGCGTGGTGTGTAGCTTAGCGTAGGCCAGAGGATACTAGAAAGAGCCAGGTTCCAGAGCAAGATACTAGAAAGTGGCCCATTCTCAGACAACACCAGACAACATCATTTCTATCTGTGGGAGCTCCTATAAAATTTACTGCATGGATGGGCAGAACAGAGTGACACATTTTCTTCTGGCAATTTGTGCCAAAGAAGGGTGGGGAAGGAACAGAACTATGCATTTCTCCTTCAAGAATCTCATTTGAAATTCTACTGGATAATTCACAGCACATGAAAGGAGTGAATGAGGGATAGCGACAAAGATTATTATACACTCCACGTTCAACTAATGTTAAGAACTAGAAAAGAAGAAACCCCTCCCCCACATCATTCCCCAGATCTTTATATTCTTAACACATTGTACATAGCCATTTGTCTCTGGTGAACATACCACCATAGATCAGCTATCTACTAAAGCAGCACCTGATGAGGTCTTCCCCCAATGTCAGTCACTCCGTTATGTATACTCTCAGGACCAGGGGTGGAAAGTTTAGATTTTTATCCTCAGAAGATGGCAAAACGGATGAAAATAATTCATTAATTCAATTGACTCCAAGACCACACTATACTCAGGATTGGAAAAATAACTCCTCTTTCTTTTTAGCATCTCAAATTATGTCCATCATATTATCCACCAAAATCTATCAGTGGTTCTGCAGTGAGATTAAATGACACATTGGGTATCTGATAATGTATAAAAAGTACTGCAATCATAAAATTCCAACAACCCAAAGACTTTTGAATATAAATCCTGTTCCATTAAGAAATCCCAAGGAGAAATTAATGCACAAAATTTAAACCCTATTGCATGTTAAGTCAAAATAAGTTGAAGTCCAACGAACTTTAAGTCTGTATTTGTTATCTTCCTCTTTAGAATAAGGAGCCCAAAGAAACTGAAATGCAAAATCTTCAAGTTAATGGCTAAAGTTTTCCTTCTTAATCCCGGATGTATTCTGCTCTCTCTTAGCTGGAGGGTTTATTGATGCCTGTGTAGAGTGGGACTCTTTCAGCAGCTATGGCCAGGACAGTATCTCACTGGAATGAGAGACTTAAATTTTTTAAAAGATTATATTTATTTACTTGAGAGAGAGAGAGAGAGAGAGAGGGAGCGCTAGCATGAGTGGGGGGAGGGGCAGAGGGAGAAACAGACTCCCTGCTGAGAGCCGAACCCACCTCAGGCTAGATTCCAGGACCCTGAGATCATGACCTAAATCAAGAGCCGACTGACTAAGCCATCCAGGCTCTGCTGAGAGACTTAATTTTTAATAATGTCCAATCAATTTTTGGATATATCTGATTAAGTCAAAGACGTCACCACATTTAGAAAATAAGGCAATCTCTAGCTCTTAGGACAGATATACCAGGCAATACCCTGTTAACAAATCTAGGACATGGTGTCATCAAGAACAATAGCAAAGATGCTTGGAATATGAGTGAAAGAAGATAGATGTTTTTGTTTTGTTAAAAATGTCAACTAATAAAAAAAAAAGTCAACTAATCCAAATCAGTTCTGGAAGCCAGGACCTATGTACTTAAACTTACTTGGGAAAAACATCCCACCGAGATATTAGATACAGCGCTATATAGTTTACCATATGATAAGCTGGGAGGAGAATCCCCCTGTGTATTCCATCTACTTTTAGAGAGTGAGTGGTATTTGAGGCATTACTGTCTTCACGTAAAACTGGTCAACTTTAGAAACTCACCATTAGCTATTAGCCTCACTGGGGCTTCTTTTTTACACACCTGGCATATTCAAAGTATCACCAGTGCTTGAGAATATGTTTGGTCTGGTGATGTGGCCTCCATAGTATCTTGTAAGTTGATCTTTTTTAGGGGTGTGCCATAATGGCAGCTTC